AGTGCTACTTTTAGTTAATTTCATGAAATCTTTGGCAATCTTTAACCATCATGCCTGCAAAAAAAATGGTGTGTCAAAGGGATGGTGTTTCCCTTGACACCACTATTATTTTAACTACCTTCATTCCTCAACAATGTTTATAGTTTTTAAAAGTGATGATTAGAATTGTAATAAAGTCTAAGCATATGATGAAAGTGAATTTATACATTTTTTGTTCTTGAGAAATTAAAACAAAAATATTAAACACTATTTATTTATTAGTTTGTTTATTTACAAGAATAATTTAATATTTGCAACATTCTAAAAACTAATACAATTGTATTAAAACTAATGTAATGCAATATTTATAATTTACCAATTTAGTCATTGACAGACAGACTGTTTTGCTGTATCATAGCTCTTCAGTGTGGCTAGACATGCAATTGCTTCAAGCTGGGATCGAAACAATGGATTTGACATCAGTTGGAGATTCTTACCCCTAGGTTATCAGCACATGCTATGGAGCAAGGGAATTTTTAACACATTATATACATAATATAAGCTACCAGCACTCTATTAATTTACCAATTTATAAAGAAATAAATATGAAAATATTTTTTATTTATAAATTTATAAACGTTTACTAAATTATTAAAATACAAGGAATTCCTTATTATTTACCATTTTGTAAAGCTTCAATCGATTGTCAAATAGCTGATGGTTTTACAAACATTTCAATAAACAATCTAATAAATAATTAGTGTTTATTATTTTTCTTGTAAATTCTCAAGAACAAAGTAAATGTATAAATTCATTTTCATATGTTTAGGTTTAAAATTTTAATCATCACTTTTTAAAACTATAAACATTGCTGAGGAGTGAAGGTAGTTAAAATAACAGCAGTGTTAAGGAAAAACCGTTCTTTTGACACTTGGTTGCTTTGCAAGCATGAAGGCTAAAGATTGCCAAATTAGTTCACTGTTATCAGTTTTTCTGGTATTGATGCGAGTCTTCTTTCAAACCTTTTGTTTTTTGGTAATGTGGAAAGTTAGAATTTTGATTGTATCATTATTTTCTCTTTTAGTTATATCTGCTACCCATTTTTGTTGTTGCTGCTGTTGGAGGTAATTTGCTAATGCTCTTTGTTTGTAATTTTATAGCACCAGTGTGTAAGATATGATGAAGGATTGTCTTTAAGATTTAAATGATTTATCTGTTTGAATTCATTTTTAATCATTGATCTGAGAAAACAGTTTTATACTGCTGATAGTTTAGGTATTTCTAAACAACTTGGATGACATGCATGATGTCTGTATGAGAGTTTAGGTTTGATAGTTCTATTTAAGAATGTGACTCAAATTTTCAGGTTAATATTTAGCTTTGTTGTTGTTGGCACATGCTCATATCTGAGCATCAGGATCATCATCCTATCACCGTATATGCTCTCTCTCCAACGGTGGTGGTTACAGAGATGGTTGTGAATCAAAGGGTGTTTGACAAGGCCATTCATGCTAATTTGATTTTGGTGGATACAACTCTGCACTATGGAGAAGTACACATACTTGGCTAGAAGTGCTCCCCTTGAAGCTCAAAGGAGATTGAGATAGGTGAGATTTGGCAAACCTGGTTGCATTGGTCTGTCAGTGCTTGGTCTGTTAAGGTCTGCCTTGATTATGCCAACCCAACTGGTGCTGTCCTCTTCTGCTGGTTTGGTTACTGGCTTTGTAGCATCTTACTATCAATTTCCTTACCTTGTATGCTAATCTTGTTATAACTGATCTATACTATGATGTATTTGAAGTGTTTAGTTTTTGATGGGTTCATGGTCGGTGCCATCACTAATTTGCTAGGTTTGCTGCTAGGAAAGTTGTTTCACCGTGTTGTGTTAGATAATTTATATCGCCAGAATTTATCTTGCATTTCTAAGTATACCATTTGTCCATGCTTTGAATATTGCTGCTACACTTGGCTGGGTGTTTCTGCTAAGTATTTAGAGATTCTTGACTAAAAAAAAACAAAAAAGAATCTACAATGTTATTGGCTCTAACCTGGCCTCTCAGCTTCAGTCACTTTTTTATCAGAATAAAATAGCTTCCCTCTGTCATTTCTATAAATATTTTCATGATGATTGTTCTGATGAGCTTTCCTCTTTGGTACCTAAACTTTATGAATTTAAGCACAGTACTAGATTAGAAATAAAGTCTCATCATTTTACAGTTGAATTAGCTAAATGTAACTGTAAGTTTTATGCTAACAGTTTCTTCTCTCACACTTCTCACTTGTGGAACTCTCTTCTGGCTTCTTCCTTTCCAGTCAACTTTAATCTTTAGAAATTTAAATGCAATGTCAATCATTAACTTCAATCTTCGAAAATCCTGTTCATTTATTGTTCTCTCTTCTAATAATGTTTTCTTTTTTATATTCTTTCACACTCAGTAACCTATTGCATTTTAGTGACATTATTGCCTTGCTTGGGGTAAAATGATTAAAAGAAATGTTCTAGATCAAGTTTTCAGGTCAATATTATAGCTAGAGGAATGTTAACTTTCAATATATTTGCAAACTTATTTAAATTCATAGATTAATAAATATTCAAATTTCACCAGACATTCCACATTCTTGATATTTATCTCTGGAGCTTAGCTAAATTTGTTACAAAGCCAGATGTGAAGGAAATGGTGAAAGTAGGGTCAGACTATCCTGCCCTGGGTAAGAGGTAAGAATATTATAATACGTTAATCCTCCTATCACTTGACCTAGAATGTCATCATTACAAATCCTGTCTTTGACCTCAGCTCAAACTTAAAACCTCTCAGGCAGCTGTTCTGCAGATACGTCATAAGACTGGCCATGTTTATTATCTTAGTATAAGTTAATTCTTGCAAAGAATAAACTTAACCTGTTCATGTCTGGCATTTGGGTATGTGGCTGAGTGGTTAGAATGTTCACTTTCCGACCATGAGACCTGGGTTCAAATCTCACCATGGTCGATTTGTCAGGAAGGTGATTTCTTCATGTTATTAGCCTGGGGAGTAAATTCCAGAGTGTGGCACCATTAGAAAGTGCTTGAAATCCATAACATGGGTTGGCCCAAGTTTTATGAGTGAGACAGAATTATTTGGGAGCCGTTGATGTTTGTACTAGCCCTAAGTCATTGTAACTGAGGGTTTGAGTGTACTGGCTTTCTTCAGACTGCACTCTCTCCCAGAAACTGTAACTAAGGTCTGCTCAGCATAGTTTCAGTATAAACCACAGGTGGGTGCTGAACACAAATGTACCTGAACAGGAGTCTGCAACAGGGATTGGTTAGCCACTCTAGTAGATAATCATACTTGGATACTAACAGTCACCAATAAAGATCTGTCATTTTGCTTGATATATACATGTATGAGATGTGTGGGTGGTGTAACAGAAATTGGAACAGAAAGTGGAATCAGTAGGCCAGATTCAAATTCCAGGCTAATTTATTGCATTCACTTTCACACAAATGCTCTTGGGAAAGTCATGAATCTTCTTCAAGAAAACAACCCATACAAAAATAAATGTTTAAATTCTCTATTAGTAGTTTTTTGTGCTAACAAAATGAAAAACAAGACTGTCTCTTTTCAAAAAGGGAGTATACTTGAAGAAGGCTATGGAATGGATCAGCTGAAATGTTGTCAGTACAAAAATTGCTAAAAGAATGAGTTGAATAGATAATGTTATCTTTCATCAGATATTAACAAGATTTTATTTTGATTTCTAAGTGCTTAGAGCACCAAATGATCATCATGAAAGGTGAGATATTCTGTTTCTGAGAGGAAGAAAGAGAAAGAGAAATATTGACAATGGCTTTTTCCTTATGTACTTGTATAGTAATATATGAATTTACATTTATGTGACGAATTACCTGAAACTAAATTTGCATGTAGATGGCCATTTGCAATGTGAGAACTGTCCATGTGTGACTGAAATCCTTATAATACCATTGGTTAGTCTATATTCAGGATTTTGACATCTATTTAAAGATCTACTTGAAGATGTAAGCAGTTTGCTGCCAGCAACCATTGAGAAAAGGTTGCAAGTGGTTAGGATCTACAGTAGACCATGCATTCTATAATTTATGGTGTTGGACTAAGATAGCTTTCTTTCCTTGGTAGTGAAACTGATTTGAAGTTTCTCTTTGTGTCTGTGTGACAACATCAACCCACTCATATGAACAACTTATTTGATACAAGATGATTTTTGGCATAAGAAATAAAAATTCTAACCTACATACAGAGGATTTTATAGCAAGTCAATAAAACTGGCTTCTCAGTATAGAGTGTCTTTTTCATTTTTTAGAACATCCTCTCACTGTTAATCTATTTTGTTTTATCCAATAAATTTTGCTTTAATTTAATCTATATAAATAAAACACAGTTTATGTGGGTCTGGTGTCCAGCCATTTTTATGATCTTGGTGAATCATAACTGCTGTAGTTACAAGCAATTAAAAATTAAATAAATAACTCATTTAAAGTTAAATTTAAATATTGAACAGAGTGAAAGGTTTAAAAATTCTCTATTAAAGGTTTAACTTTAATTTTGCATTTTGACACAAAAGATAAAATAATTTTATTATTTCTAAATTCTTATAACTTTTATGTACATAGGATGCTGAAGGTAAAAGGTTAAAGGCTCAAAAGTTTGCCCAAAGTGTGGCTTCTATGCTAGTAATCAATAAATCTAAATATTTCTGTGGTTGATTGAAGAGAATGATTGTTGATTGATTGATTCAGTTTCTATGGATTATCAACACTTTGCGGATTATTTAAAGCCAGAAAATATTTTTAGATTGTAAGAATATTTTTTTGAGATATCAATGATTTAGTGATACAAGTTTACTAATTAACCCATAGCTGGGGGGAGAAGAGGTGGATTCATACCCTTCCCAAAGGTGTTTGCACATAAGTGAATATAATGAAGCCAACTAGAATTGGAATTTGGCTCTCCGATTAACAGTTCTGAGCTCTTATCCATTACACCACCTGCACATCCAAGCTTACAGTACCTGGTATTCCCAAGTGGTTAACCATCTAGGTACTGACCAGGCTCAGCATTGCTTAACTTCGGTGATTGTAATGGAACTGGTGTTTCAACATGTTGTGGCCATAAACCTGAAGAAAACGAAAAGCACATCATGTAAATGTTTCACGTGTGTATTGCTGTTTATCAGTTATTTCAAATGGCAATGCCTGAAGTGAGTAGGAAATGATACTGCGATTGTGTTAGGCTCCCATCCGTTTTCACGTACATTTATTTCAGTTTCCTTTTTTTTATCCAATACAACTATTCTCGTTTTAATCTCAGTGAGGCCTTATATTCCGAAATTAATTGTGATGTAAATTAAATTTGCACTAGTTTTTATTTAACTTTTTTTTAATTAAAAAAATACGTTTTCTTTTCAAAACTATTCTATGACTTACCCAACTATTGGTTTAAAAACTACTGTCCTACAGCGCGCACGCACGTAAGTTACATTCGCAAACGAACGCAGATTCTTTGTAAACTCCAGACATGCGCTGAAAAACAGGGACAAGATGAAGAGAGAGATAAAATTTTTATCATAAAAAAGAATAAAGCTTTTTGTCTAGATAAATTTTTCACAAAAAGTGTTTATATAGCTCACTGTCATTGTTACAGGATAAAAAAGGAAACGTGTGAATAGCGCACTTCCCTATAAGATGGGCCGGACAAATATCCCTCTCTACCATGTGTGTTCACTAAAAATGAATGTGATATTTGTCGGGTGTGCGTATGTGGTGCGTGCGTGCGGGTGTGTGTGTGTGTGTGTGTGTGTGTGTGTGTGTGTGTGTGTGTAAAAACACAACGGAAAATGGCTTTTAAAGCAAAGGCTTATTATTATTTGTACTGCAAGGAGTTTACTTTATCTCCCTTTTATTTCTTTCTTCTCTACGTCCATCTGTCGATTGGCGGGATTTTGAACTTTAAAAATAAAACAAGCATTGTTTTTTTTTACCATGTGTCAAAAATTGTGAACAATAATCACGATTTTTTAAAATTTAGAACTTTTATTTGGGTTTTGAAGAAAATAAGAACTTTTTCTTTTAATGAAATGAAAAAAAGTTTTAATTATGACAACTTTAAAAAATAGAATTAAAATCAAATAATTTTAAAAAGTCATTATTCTCCCCTGTTTGTAATCTGTGAAAAAAAGTAAAATGGTATTTACATGATCAAGCTGTTGTTTAAAAATATCGTCATGGAAAAAAAGTCATAGGAAGTAACTGTAAAAAGAAACTTTTGGAAAAGTCCTATCCTCGTTTGTTTAAATTCTATGTATTTTTTAAAATAAAATATTTTAATTTATTTAAAATCCTTAATAAAAATAAGTCATTTATTGGTAATAAAAAAAACGAAAACACTCAACAAAAGAGTAATATTTTTATTTTTTTTAATAAAATTAAAAAAAGTATTGAATTTATTTACAAAAAAAAAACAAAACATGTACAGTGTAACCCGGATATAAGAGACCCGGATATAAGAGAAACCCGGATATAAGAGATATTTTCTCTGGTCCTAAATTAGAGCCTGTATGTATATAAAATAGACCAAACCCGGATATAAGAGAAACCCGGATATAAGAGACTTCTTCTCCGGTCCCGACAACTCTCTTATATCAGGGTTACACTGTAATCGCTAAAAAATTCAGTTCAATTAGTAAAATTAGTTTTTTTTTTTTTTTTTACTGATCTTTCATGACAAAAATCAGATATGAAAAGCATTTCATTGAGAAAACGAAACATAATTTTTATTTTTATTTAAAATAAAAATTAATATTACTTTTTTTTTTACACATTTTAAATTAAAATATTACTTATTGCCTTTTTTCCGAGCAACAAGCAGCAGAAGTTATAAAGTTTTCCTTCACCTAAACAAAGCTTACTTTATGACTCCCCCATGACTTATTTCCGGTCACTGAACAGTGAACAACGATCCAGGCCCGTCGTCAAGCCCCCACTTCAAGATCATACCCCGTATAAATGATGTAAAACTTATTGTAAACTAATTCTAGTGTGCAAATTCTTAATCGGTCCTTCGCTGGTTTAAATGGGCGTAAATAGTAACGGCGTAATGTTAAGCTGTCTCCTTATAAGGAAACATTCAGTATTCATTGACCGAGTAGCCAGTGCTACTTCCGGTTAAAATTTATAAAAACTTACTACAGTGTAACCCGGATATAAGAGAGTTGTCGGGACCGGAGAAGAAGTCTCTTATATCCGGGTTTCTCTTATATCCGGGTTTGGTCTCACAGGCTCTAATTTGGGACCAGAGAAAATCTCTCTTATATCCGGGTTTCTCTTATATCAGGGTCTCTTATATCTTATATTGTATTAAACATTTTTTCTGGAAAATAAGTTTCTCAAGTCCAGTAACTGTTATATTCGACTATTAATGGGGGTTTCCAAATTAACCTTTTGTTCGAAGTAGTGTGGAACGTCAACATCTTGATTATTTCATTTTTTTTATTCAAGTTACATGTGCTATTCGTTTAAATTGCTGCCATTATTGAAAGTCCTCAAGTGATGTGATTCTGTAACACCAGTCTACAATGCTCGAAGAAGGATAATCTTCACTAAAAGCTACAACCTTTATTCGCTCAAATCCATTTTAACCATTGATCTAAGAAAGCAGTTGTATACAGCTGACAATTTAGATATTTCTGAACGACTTTGGCGCCATGAATGACGTCTATATGAAAGCCTCGATCTGACGAGGATATTTAAGAACATGACTTGTGCTTTTAGGTTAAATTTTTGGTTATGTAGCAATTTGTGGTGTTGAGCGAAACTACCTCCAGCGCAACTTATTATATGTTCAATTTCCTTATCTCTTATATTAAAGGTTTTATAACTGATTCATACACCGAGCTATTTGTAGTGTTTTGTATTTAATAATTCTACGCCCTGAATGTTTATGAATGTGTTAGAGTTAAAGGTGACAGAATCGATAAAAGCAACAACGGCTTAAAGTTTAGAGTGGACAATTCTCTCTTTTAGGCGGAAGAATAAAGACTCAAACTCCTGCTCGGGGTTTAACAATAGAAGAAGAAAATGTTTATTTACATACACAAAAAAGATAAAAAGGGATATACACAAATATGAGAGAAACAACGAGAGAAGAAAATTCCTTTAACTTAAAGGAAGAAAAAGTATTCATATAAAGACATGTTCAAAAATATTTCTCTGAGCGCCTAAAAGCAAGTAAATTCTTCTTAAGGGGTTAACATTTATATAAGATTTCTTCAGAGTTCTTGTTGAGGTGGAAACAAACGGAAGATCCGTAGTTTGTAGTTGAGTGAAATCGTAGGCCGACGACAGGAATTTCAAGGTACTAGGAAGCAGATCTCGAGTAGTTTTAGTAGTTAGTCCCCAGTATGTACATTTCTTCCTTGAAACAGGTTCTGAAGATGACCGGTGTTACTGTCGCCGACCTGATGTTATCACAGACAATGTCAAATACTCACTACCAAAGAGGCACATATTTTTCGTATTTATCTAGATTCCAGGGCTCAGAAATATCGGGAACTTTTTCCTCCAATATTGCTATACACTTTCCCGGTCCCCTCATTCATCAGATTCTTAGCAAAGGTTTAGAAGCTGGTTTTGAAAGCAAGGGACCGACAAGTTGTGAGCATTACCCCCCGACTTTATGGCACAATGGCCAAGGCAGGTGTGGTCAAATTATTTTAATATTTTCCAGCTCTCTCGTTTGTCAGAAAATATATTCTTATCTCTGATAGGGATCAAGACATTGGAAGCCGGTTTTGAAAGCAGTGGTGAAAGTCGGGGCAAAGATCAGAACAGAGGCTGGAACCTGAACTTGTAAAACATTGTAATAGTTGTTTTCAAAAATAAATTCTAATAGATGGATTTAGTGCAGTATCCATTATTGTCTTAATTCCAATTCCAGACGGTTTCAGTTTTGGAAAGGTTTATCTCGAGTTCTTTCTCTTGGAGGAGAATGTTGACTTTTCTGTTCAAAATCATTCTTATCCCACCCATGAATATCTATGTCATCAGTATAGTCACCCTCATCACTGGCCTCAGGGGATGGGGGAAAACAATAAGTGCCCCTTATCCCGCTCAAAATACACCGACGACGAGCCTGCATCGAACATACTTCGCTTTATTCTATTTTTGTAAACGTAAGCTTTTTTACTTTCACGTCTGGAATAGACGAACCTGGACGGCTATTTTATTTCTTTCAAATCTACTCACTTTTAATCCAGATACCCGGTTTATTCTTTTTCCACTTTTCCTACCCTATCTTTAATATCATCTCTCTGTATTTTTGTTCTGAAAACTTAACCTTTTTATTCCAACTTACCGTTCTATTCAAGACTTCATAGCAAAGTAATATGAGTGAGTTAAAAAAACCAAAAAAAAAAAAACTGATTTATTACGTTTATATGAAACTAAAAAAGACAAGTCATTCATTGTCATATATAATTTATCAGGTGATGACAATGATAAGAGCTCTAAAGTAGTCCAGTCCATTACGTCTATGATGTGCCGAACAAAAAACGAAACAAAGACAATATAACTGGACTGACTACGACGAGTTTAGCTATTTTTACTGAACGGCTGATCACAGGGTTCATTGTCTGTTTTTTACAGATTTTACAAGTATAATATTAACTTATAGTGGCACGGGGCTTAGGGGTTAAAATGAACAGTTGATTTACTCACACCAGGAAGGTTAATGAAGGATGATAATGACGAGGAAATACACAGATAAATTTAACGAAAAATAAATAAAAAAAGATGTTTATTTACAAATTTACACACTTGTAGTTGTGTCAGTAGCTCGTTTCAGGAAAAAAAATTAAAGTCTGTAGATTTAACAAATTGTCATAAAGAGGAAATGCTCATACAACAGATTAATTGATTTGACACAAAATAATGGTAAAAATGTTTAAGACAAAGGTAAGAGAGTTCGTTACTCATCGAACGGATATATTGTTTGCATACGTTCAAAAGTAAACAAAAAGAAATAGTTTGAAATACCTAGCTTTCTTGGATTGTTGAGAGAAAAGTAAAACTGCCCCGTGCTGGCTAGAAGTCGATAATATAATTGGCGAATAATTTTA